GTTCATGCATTTATTCTGTCTCTTGTTATTAGTCTCTGTCTCTCTTCCACAGCATGTCTGTATCCTGTCTTCCTTCTGTCACCAAAGTGCTTGGTGACAGTGGCATCAGATCTAAAAGCCTCCTGTCACTAATCATCATCTTCAAACTATTTTGATGTGTGTTTTCAGTGTAACTTTAGTAGACAGTAGAAAGCATGTTTTATCCCTTCACTGACCTGGGTCCAGCTTGATGTTTCATATTTCTCATGTTTTCCTGTCTTAAAATCCTGAATCTGAAAGTTCAGAGTCAGAATAAACCTTAAACTTTGGGAGTCAACCCGCCCACAGACGTGACGTCTTTGCTGAAGGTGATGGCTTCTATAGAGGCCGAGCAGCGGTAACCACGGTGTGTTTGTGTGTGTGTTCGTGTGCAGGTACAAGCTGTCCACACGGCCGATTTACAGGCAGCAGCAGAAGATCGTAACCGCTCTGCTGTGGCGCTGCTGTCCGGGACACGGAGGACACAACTGCGAGGACACAGGCGAGTCAGCAGCATCAGCGTCACTCGAGTCCGCGTTAAGGATGTTTTTGTGAAGCAGACTTCAGTGTTGCGCAGGTTGTAGCACAAACGCTCAGACTGACATCAGAGAGTTATCCATTAAAAGTCCACCTTAAGCGTTCCTGTCCTGTTTGGTGCCCTTCCTGTTTTGGCCTTTAGGTGGTGCCGGGTCTGCACTCGCTGGCTAAAATCTGCTCTGGTTTGTTTGGGTTAAAAGCAGCCTGATTACATTTATCCACTGCACTTTAATGTGGTTCCAAAATCAGAAACAAGTGAACAGAAACAGCCTGAATAACATATTCAGGGAATAACGTATGAAAATGTGTTTTATTTATATTATTGTCCTTTCAATGGTAGAAATCCTTTTGTATTTATGATGTAAACATATTTATTAATATTTATGTTTAGTGAGTTTGATCCCGACGGCCACAGTGAGCCTGAAAGCAGCCGCGGTTATTCATAAACTGCTCGTTTTAATAGAGGAGATGAGGATGGAGCATATTAAGAGTTGCTCTGAATGGACGCCTGGTTCTGGTTTCCCTCCACTGGAGTCTATTTTTACTTTTCCAAGAAAAGGCGGGCTTTAGTATCGCTCGGGAACTTAATGTGTTCCAGATTTTCTCGGCGTGTGGGAACAGCCGTGTTTATCTGCGGGAGGACGTCCTCTGCTCTTCGCTTCTGTTTGTGTGACGCTCAAAGTTTATCAGCGGTCGTCTCTCAAAGCTCCCAGCTCCCCCACAAACAGGCCACATTATTGCATGATCGTAGCCGGCTAAAACAGAGACGGCTGCTGCCTGCGTTTTTCTGTTTCCCGTATCTGAGGCACAAAGTCAAAGCCACGAGTTCATGAATCCATCACTGAGTCTCAAATCAGGAGCTCATGAAGAGAAACATTAAAGTCGTTCATTCTCTGCCTCAGTTTATTATTATTATTGTTATTATTGCTGCTCTGAGCCCTCGTTGTGCTCGGACGTCAGCTCTGATTTAATCTGAGTTTATGGGAAGAGGAGGAGGAGCGGGCGTCTCAGCTCGCACCGCTGCCTCCAGGATACAATCATTTGTATTGACCGTCTCTGAGCTGACTCTCTGTCTTTGTTAGTTTAAACTGCAGTTTTACAGCTTGTTTCTTCTCCAACAGTCTCAGGCCCTCGGCAGGATTCTGAAAGCTCGACTCTGATTGGACGATCTGAAGCAGGCACATCAGAGGTCAAGGCTCCAGGTACGCTCTTGGAAATGAAACATTTTTGACTCTTCAGGTAACTCATGTCTCAGACTGTAGAACCACAGCGAGCCAATCAGTGCGTTGGTCATAACAAACAGGAAGTGGTCATCGATGGAGTCAACAATCAGACTCCACCTCAGGGTGATCGATTTGAGACTTTTCCACTTACAGTCGAGACCCAGAACTCAGCTTTCTATCAGATCTGTTTGTAGTAACTCTTTTTAAAGCTTACAAGTACTGCCCCTCAGCAGGCTTCCTAAAAATGACCAATCAGAAAAAGAGAGAAGAGCTAAACAGCTTGTTTCAAACACAGGATGCACTGATGATGCATGGACCTGAGAAAGAAGGATTACTCTGAACTGTGAATCATGCAAAGCTACGTCAGTCACATGACAGATTTAAAAACAACAGGAAATGACCCAAATGAGTCTCCAGTCATAAATCATTGAAAATCACACAAAGATACACAGAAATATAAACATATTATTAAAAGCAAAGTAAAATGAATAAATATGAATAAGTGTAAAGAAAAGATCAGGTAGAGGGAATAATAATGATATGTACTCATTAAGAACAACAAGTGAAAAGATCTGGTCATTAAAGGGTGGAGGAGGGGTCCTGCAGTGAGGATGACCTCAGAAACCTGGAGGAAGAATAAGCTGAGAAAACGCAGCTAGAGGAGCCGCCTCCAGCTGCAGGAGGTGCTGCTGCGGTCACACCGGGGAAAACTGGTTACGGCCACCTCTGGCTGACCCGCTGGTCTCTGTTTGCGGTGGTTTTCGACTTCGTGTTTGCTCAGAATAAATTGGTTGGCTCTTGAGTTTCACCTTCACTCTCTGCGTTAACGCCGCGCTCTGACTCATTACTGTTCTAACAAAGTGAGGAACCACCGCGCTCACATTGACAAAAGGTCAAGTTCCCTCCTTTCCCTTGGAGAAGAGGGCGTGGGTGCGCCAGTACCAAGGTCACCTCCCACCCCACCCCTACTCCCACATTCGCAACATATAAACAAAGAGTGAGTCATCTGGGAACCACAGACACACTGTTCAGAGGTCAAAGGTCACACTGGCCTGATGAGAAGATTCAAGTTGGAGTGAGCTGATGGAGAGGAGAAGAGTGCAAGTCAAGTCAAGTGGCTTTATCATCATTGCAACCATGTGCACAGTGAAGGAGAACAAAAACAGTGCAACACCAGACAGTAGAAAAGTGCAACAATGACAGTTGGTTGTGCAAAAAGACCGAGCATTGTGCAGGACAGGTGGGCAGAGGTGATCCTGATGCAGGACACATTTCACACGACATTGGCTGCAGTGACCTAAGACCATCACAAACAGATGCCAAAGAATATCAAATACACCCTAAATGACTACAGTGGGATGCAAAATAAGTACTAAGACATGTAGAGTGACCATGAACTGATGGAATAAGACCACAAGCATGCACGAAAAGTAAAAATTTGACTACAAGGGTGTGCAAAAATGACCAAAATTAAACAAAAACCCCCACAAAAGGATGCAAAATAAGTACTGAATGATGCAGAACAACTTAATGACTTTAAATATCCAAAGCAAAAGCAATGACTACAAAGGGATAACAACATGAGTGTATAAAAGGGCAAATTTACCGCAGAGAAATGCATGATGATAGATATTTTTAAAGACGAACAAAATAATCAAAGGGCTGAATGTGAAATTACCACAAAACAATGAACAACAACATCTAATGGACACTGAATGACTAGAGGGATGCAAAATAAGTACAAAGAGACGTTAAAGGGAGTTTAAGAGCGCGCAACAGCAGAAACTCAAACGAACGTCAATGAACCGAGGAGAGCAAGTTTTTGGTTGTTCTGCTGTTTTTCGGTTTTCTAACTGCAGCAGGTTGATTCTCTTTGTTCTGCTTTTGATTCAACAGGAAGTAACAACAACAGTTTTCTCAGCTTCGGTGCCGTACTGTGAAATTTCATTACTGCAGGATACATGCAGAGTACATGAAGTATTTATAGCGTGTGCGGCACTGAGAAGCCTGAGAATCAAAACAGTCGATGTTGTTGGAAAAACACGGGACTGAAATAGACCTTTGGCCTTTATGGGCTCGATTTAACAAAGAAAGACAAACAAAAAGGCCGTTCCTCACACACCTCCACACGGTACAGTCCGCTCCCACCGCGCCTACGATTGAACCCACTTCCTGCGAGCTGGGGTCGATGAAATTAAATCACTAACACGATGGGACACAATAACAGGAACACCTTCAAATACAACAAGCGTGAGTCATCCACTCATAACACTTGCAAGCACTGCATCACATGAAATTCTTTGTGCGGTAGTAGCCTCTGCAGTGGAAGCTAATGCACGTGTGTCCAGCTTTTTAAAGAGAGAAAAGATCAAGACTTTAAAACAACAAATTGAGCCATGAATCCCTGAATCACCTCTCAGTGGTCTTAAAAATGATAAATGAGACGAGATTACAGTTTTGTTTTAGAGCAGCAGCTATCGGTTAAATCATCAGTTATCAGTTTCTTCAGCTCCAAAAATATCTAAAATATTAAATTCAGAGAAAAGAGAAGTATCAAATGTTCACACTTAAGAAGCTAAAACAAACAAATCTTTGGGGTTTTTTCTTAAAAGTGACCAAAATAATTATTCAACCGTCCAAAGACGCAAATACAGCGACTCACATTCGCTTACTGTACTTATTCTTTAGTTTCCTTAGTCCACTGCAGATCATATGGAAGCAGACACATGAGTGCTCCCAGTAGGATAATGTTTGTAGCCAACCTGAGGTAAAGTATCGCTGAGGAAGATAAAGTTTCAGACCTTCCTGGTTAGATGCATGAATGAGGTGATGCAGGCAGAGAGTTCAAGAAATTGAAGGAGAAACTCTCCGAACTGAATCGAGTTCATTCAGGATGACAGCAGTCAGACGGATGAAAAAGAAATCGTATAGAACCAAACATATGCAACCAGAGGGATGCAAAATGGGCACAAAAGAATGGAAAATTATTTTAAAATCATACAAAAGAGGCACAGATCCTCAACTACATCAAGGGGATGTGAAATGATTACAGAGGGATGCTGGGGGGGATCCTGGGGGTGGGATGGAGGCAGACCTGCTGTGGCGCTCCCTGAAGGAAGCACCTGAAAGAAATGCAAGACCAGGAACACTCTACAGAGGAATAACGATGATAACGAGACACAACATAATGAAGTGAAGTAAAAACGACCACTGTGGGATACCGAATCGCTCCAGATGGATGCAAAGAGAGCACACAGGAAGGCTGATCTACAAACTGTTGTGGTTTCAGACAAACAGCCACAAAGGGATGCAAAATGACTACAGCAGGATGTGAAAGGAGAATAAAATGACAAACCATTACAAAGAGATTCACCTGCAGACCCACAAAATAAGCCTAGCAACGTAAAATTACCAAAAAGGTTTTGCTGGTCACATATTTCATCTTTCCATCCACCCCGGCCTGCTCTGAATCTGATCCAGCCAAACTGATGTTCCTGCTGAATTAAAAGTTTTTAACTCTTCTGAGTTGTCAGATGTTCATGAACAAAACTTTTAGATGGGACCAAACTCAAAGACCTCAGACGTGCTGCAGCCTCAGAGGAGAAAACGATGACAGTGTTCCTCGCTGTCTTCCTTTGCAGCCGCAGAAGCTGCTTTGATGTATTTTATGCCTTCGACCCGGCCTGCAGGTCACCGACTCAGAGATCAGCGCTCCTGCTGTCGCTGCGATTCCAACAATGAGCTCAAACAAAAACGACGGAAGCTCAGCGGAGAAATCCCCAAATACATCAGCCTGTTTCCCATCAGCCTCTCCGTCAGCCAGTCTGCAAGACTTCCTGTTCATCTCTGTGTTAGTTCAGGTCAGTGAGGCTCGTATCGTCACCGTCTGCCTTCAGTTCGGTATTCCCAAAGAAGAATACACACCAGGTTTGCTTTTCCTGGGCGTGTTTTAGGTTAACCTCGATTATCTCAGACATTCATCAGTCTGAGTTTTTAACGTGTTCTGCAGCTTCTCGCACTGATTGTTGTTTTTACGTTTCAGTTGTTCATACTCGGCCCCAGCAGCGGGGCGGAGACCTGAACCACGAACAGAACGACCACCAAGTGGCCGACAGCACGCTGTATGATGCCAGCTACCCAAGCAGCCAGGACAACGACACACAGCCCACCCCGGGGCCAGAACACGCCCACAAACGCCATCATACATCATACCAGGCGATGAACACTCACAACCACGACCGACACCCCCACCACCTCGATCGTGATCACCCACAGCAGGAACACCGAACGCCAGGTGAGTTTCTGTCTGTACTGAGAAGGTTCCAACAGCCAATCACGACCCAGAGGTCCAGTTCAGGGACTCTAATTAGCTGAGGTGAAGCCAAGCAGACGACTAGCAGTGTCACCATCCACCTGTCAGTCAAGGAGGCCACGCCCCTCCAAACTTTGAACCTTAATATAATTTAAACAGGTGACACTTAAAAACTTATGAGGGGAAATTGTTCTGACTAATGGGGACTCTTCCACTGCTGGAGCCTCCGGTGGACATTGGAGGAACTGCAACCTGCCTGCATGATGAAGTCAGGGCTTTTATTTTGGCGTTCCTGATTCTTTTATTTAAATAAAGACGTGAGCACATCTTCCATTGCTGATAAACACCCACACACACTTCCGCCGAAGGAAATCCGCTTGTTCCTCCGTTACATATACATCAGTGTGTGTGTGTGAGTCACCCGACCAGCACACCTATGACATCACACCCCCACTTCCAGCTTGTTTGGGATTGGCTAGCTCTCAGTTTCCCACAGTTCTGTTTTCTCTGACCTTTGACCTCAGTGACCAGCCAGCTACATCATCCTGAGAGGAACATTTATGAGTGTTTCAGAACCTCCAGTCCAGAGAAAAATAACAGCTGATCTATAAAATCATCTCTGTGACGGAGCTGTTAGCTTTAGCCTCCTGTGCTGGTGTAGAAAGCACAGACAGCGAGTCCTTAGTTTATGTTTATAAAACCATCCAGTGATAAACAACAAGTTTTATTTCAGTCCACAATATTTTGTGTAATTTTGGGTTCATTTCTTATGCCATATTAAGCTTTCCTTTTAATAAACTTAAAGTGACGTCTCACCTTCTTAAGAAGAAGAAATGAAGCGCTTCAGTGTAACACACGCTCTTTTGTCGAAACAGGAAGTCGCCTGTGCTCGCCTCCGTAAATCACGCTGACGATCATTAGATAGAAACACTGCAGCTGACACGGGAGCGTGTGATTTCTTTCCCTCTCTCCTGACTGCAGCTGCAGCCTGAGGTGACCTCACTGTAAGCTGACCTTTGACCTCTCCATATGCTAAAGAAAACGGGTCATGATGATCAGAGTGAGTGTCTCAGGTGGTTTTGTGTCTGGACTGCATCTCCAAAGCCAAGCACACACACACACACACACACACACACACACACACCCCACCAACACACACCACACACACACACACACACACACACACAACACACACACACACACACACACACACACACTTGTATTCCTCACATGTGAGGACCCATGCTTCCAGCATACCCAGACCTGTAAAGCCCCCCCCCCCCCCCTGAGCGCCCAAACATGCTCAATGGGTGACATGTCGGTGAGTCTGCTGGCCATGCATGAACTGGGAAGTTTGCAGCTTCCAGGAATTGTGTACAGATCCTTGTAATATGGGCTGTGCATTATCGTGCTGCGACATGAGTGATGGTTGCGGATGAATGACACAACCATCAGTGTCACGATCTCTGTGATTCAAAATGCCAGCAATGTGTTCGTTGTCCATAACGGACGCCTGCCCAAACCAGAACCACACTCGGTCCACAACGCTGACATCAGCAAACCGCCCGCCCATACGCTGTCTGCCATCCGTCCTGAACAGTGAAACCAGGACGTGCCAGACGCCATGAAATGTGAGCGTGACGACGAACTGCAGTCGGGTCCAGACCTCGGTGAGGACACGAGCATGCAGATGAGCTTCCCTGAGACGGTTTCTGACAGTTTGTGCAAACCGATTGTTGCTGCAGCTGTCCGGTTGGCCAGTCTCAGACCATCCTGGACGTGAACGTGCTGGAAGTGGAGGTCCTGGGCTGGTGTGGTTACACGTGGTCTGTGGTTGTGAGGCCGGTTGGATGTACTGCCAAATTCTCTGAAACACCTTTGGAGACGGCTCATGGTAGAGAAACGAACGTTCATTTCATGGCCGCTGCTCCGGCAGACATCCCTCAAAGGTTGGGGCATCTGTGGCGTTGTGCTGTGTGATCGAACTGCACATGTCCGAGTGGCCTTTTAGTGTGAGCAGTCTGAGGCACACCTGTGAGGTGGGATTATCTCAGCAAAGGAGAAGTGCTCACTCACACAGATTTAGACAGATTTGTGAACAATATCTGAGAGCCGTGGGTCTTTGTGTTTGTAGAAAATGTTTCAGATCTTTGAGCTCAGCTCGTGAAAAATGGGAGCAAAAACAAAAATGTTGCATTTAACCCTTTCAGACACAGTGGTGCCTACAGCTATTCAAAGGCTGTCTTCTTGTATTTATGTCCATGTTGATGGTTTACTTGCACATAAACCACTACATTGGACACTGATGTGTCCATGCCCTGCCACCCACTGGTCAGCCAGTGTTGTTCACCTTGGTGGACATGTAAAGAAACCTATTTTCATGCCTAAAGACGAATAAAAATACTTAAGAAAAGAATCCAGATTGAGGTTGTCATAATTCATGCATGAAAGGGTTAAATGTTTGTCCAATAAATGAGGGTTTCTGGGGGGCTTTCAAAGTGTTCCAATTCCCAACATTGTAGAAAAATAACTCACAGACTGGAAAAACGTCTTCCACACAAAACCGGCCCTGGAATCGAATCCTTTAATCTGTTAGCATCCACCGCTCGGACTCGTTCAGGGTTACATTCATATTTCGCCCTTTTTAAAGACATTTTTCCAGTGAAGCGTTGGTTTGAAGGCCAACACCTTTTCCTCTGTGAAACTCACTTTGTGTAGCATGTGTAGCGCTAACCTGAGCCCCACTGTTAAGTGCTTTACTGTAAACCTGGTGACTATCAACAGGTTCAGATTAAGAGCACTTTTCTAACTTTCCAAAGATGCAGCCTGGATTTGAACTCGGAATAAGCCAAATACGTGTTTCCGCCCAGTGGAGGTGATCGTAATGTGACGTGCGTCTGCTGAAGCACAGCTTTCATGCTTGCAGCAGCAGTTTGTGGCTGGCTTTGGCTCAGCCTGTTCTGTCCTTCAGAGCCTCTCGGGATCGCTGAGCAGGAAGTGTAAGCACAGTTGGATTTATTTCAGACTCCAGGAATAACAATAACAACACAATCAGATCCTCTTGGCCCTGAGGTGCCTCCGACCAGCCGAAGGACCGGCAGCGCCCTGAGGTCTGCATGTTCACTTTTCATCAAACCATCCCAAGGCGCTGTAAAGCTCGGCAACTATCCTCTGAATCCTCCCAGCAGCAGTCTGAGGTGTGTTTGCTTCCTTTTGGAGCTCTGCTGTGTTTTTAACCCAGACTGGAGCCTCAGCTGGTTCCATTTTAGAGCACAACAATCCAGTCTAGCTCCCCAGAGAGCCATGATTCACAGGGGGGAGTGTGTTTTTGTCAGTAGTGGGCGAATAGCCCCTCGGGGTTCTATTTTTATTTCAGAAATCTGGTTCAGAAGTCCAGAGTTTCCCAGCGGCTGATATCCTACTGTCAGGTTCCTGCGTTCTTCTAGTGCCGCCAACAGGTCAAAACTTCTGCTGCAGCCCACAACTCCTCATGTGGTCATGACTGTCCTCGTGTTTTTGAATCAGCTTTTAAACCAGTGACATTAAAACAGACCTGAGCACACAACACAGTTTATACTGTTTCAGAGTAGATACACAGGTTCCAGTTTAATGTTCCAGCAGTTCTGTTCTTGACTTCTAGTGGGATGAATTTCTAGGCACAGCTATGAGGTGGAGACTTTTCTGTTCAGAGGTTTCAGGAGCTCTGCTTTTTGCAGATGATGTGGTTTTGTTGGCATCATCAAATGATGACCTTCAGCTCACACTGGAGCAGTTTGCAGACAGATGTGAAGCCACGTTGATGGATATCAGTTCCTATCCTCACATGTGACCATGAGCTCATCAAGAATAAAATGTCCCAACAAGTTGATTCTGTTCATCTGGACGTAGTTTCTCACTGGGAGAAACATCAGCACACTGACTAACAACGAGCTCAGCTTCTTAGTCATTAATATGCAAATTGTGAAGGCTGATGTTGGGGAATGGCTGCAGTCACAGCAGGTAACACAAAGACAGCGTGTTCACGTGTCAACAAAGGTCTGAGTAAAGGCAGAAATAAATAAATGCAAAGTTTAAAACTCTCCTGTGAAATCAGAATACGCAGAATATTTAACTCCAGGTTCAGTGTAAGAATGAGAGCTTTGGCTAAGTTAAGTGTCTCATTGATAAACAGCGTGCTGGGCTGCTCCCTTTGTCAGTTTAGAAAAACTTCATATTTCCTGAGAAACAGAAATCAAGCGGATTGAGAGACGAGCTGGTGGCACATATGAGAGTGTCCTCTGCATGAGTGCAGAGATGATCTCTGTGGATCACCTGCATTAATTACAGGTGGACTCAAAGGTGTTACAAAGGTATGGCAGGACGTTAGGACCTGCTCTCATTGTATGATCATTTAGATTCTTTCTACCTTTTATTTAAAATATTTGGGGTTTTTTTTGCATTTTTTCCCACACAGATCTACTTCCAGATCGAATATAACCAAGTAGCTTATTCCAGGACAATCCACACAGTCGTTGAGCTGTGTAACTGCAGTTTCCTTTGTACCGTTTGGTTCCTTTAATTTTGAAATGTCCAAACATTAAAAACATCATTTGTATTTTTTCCAGAGGACCTCAGTGCCGCCCCTCTCCCATATCCCGGTGCCCTTATTCCCCTTATTGTCCCCTACATGATGGACCGGGTGTGGTCCCAGCTACAGCCGGTCATGGAGCACTTTAACCACTCACTGGAACACCTGAGCCAGAGGGTAGGTGACCTGGCCCATGATGTGGCCCAGCTGAAGAGCAGCCAGCTGGGGGCGGGGCATCAGATGACTCTTCAGGAGGAGCGTGATGACGGGGTGGAGGAGCGGTTGGACGCCAGATTAGATGAAGTGATTCAGAACATCGGGGAGGTCAAGAGGCAGGTGGAGGCGCAGCAGACTGAGATGGAGAAGAGGCTGCACTCGCAGCATGTAATGCTGCACTACAACCTCACCAGCTTCAAGGCCGACATCGACGTGAAGCTGAAACACCAGCAGAAGACGCTGCAGGTCAGTGCACGAGGGAGGCCAACACTTTACAGGATTTATGGTGATGTCGATATAAACCTTTATAATGAATCAGGAGGATGTAAAATGAAAAGAAATGATGACATTATGACAAACTGAGGCCTGGCTGGGAATTTAAACATCTTTAAAATGGCCACGATCAATAATTCATCCTTTTGGTCATTATTTACAGTTCTCTAAAACGTTAGAAGGCTCCATGAAACTTTTGATTTAAACATATTCCAGTATTCCTCATCCCAGCTTCTCCATCCATCCATCTTCATCCGCTTTATCCGAGGCCGGGTCGCGGGGGCAGCAGCCCAGTTTCTCTTTTAAAAAAATGACTTCTGTTATTCCTGGGTGTCATCACTGACGGCCTAATATTTTGGCACTGTCCCTGGATGCTGGAGAATCTGGAGTTTGTCATCTCCAGCTGTTTTCTTCTTCTTTTCTTTCTTACTTTTGTCCAAACTTTCTTTTTCGACTGAGCCACAGTGTCAGAGGAGATGACATGTGGTGCCTCCATTATTTTATTTTTTTGTTCTTGAACCATCGTTCCTGTGATGGATGCAGTCTGGACGGTTGTGCCTTTTCTTGATTCCTCTTGGACACAACGAACAAGCTCGTTGTTTTCCTGCCTTAGAGATGCAAGCTTGTCTTTTACATCATCACTGCTGTCTTTGCTTCACCTGGAGGAAAATGTGTTATATAGAGGAAATGGGGGCGGGCTTATGCAGATTGCACAGGCTGGCGTGCATGTTGCATGAATCGCATGTTTTTTGTGCAGGATACAAATGTTTCCACGAACTGTTAGGAAATGAGGTTTCAGAGCGCTCGCGCTTCATTCTGATGCAGCTTTGCTAACCAAAGCTCTGCTGCCATGTTTCTTAGAGAGAAGAGGCTTTCTCCTGCAACCTTTCCAAACCTTTCACATGCTAGTTGAGGCCAGTTGAGTGTGAGCTCTTGGGTTTTGCACGGCCTGACTTCAAAGAAGACTGTCAGGTGTCTGAGTGATCTTTCTCCTGAGGTTGATGCACAGCTGCAGTCGCCTCCCTGAGATTGCTGATGTTTCCTCCCTGTCATTGTGTGGTTGGTCCGATCGGTGACATAGGTCATTATAATCTAACATTAGCTGGTGTTGGCGGGACCCTCAGGGTGTTAGAGGAAGCCAGAGTCAGGCCAGCTCTCATTTTTAAGTACAGTCTGTTCATATGTTGCCAATGAAACACATTTATTCATAACTCCTGTTGCTGATCTCAGGTCAGCCTGCAGGCCATGAACGCCACGCTGACAGAGCTGAAGTTGGACCAGTGGCAGATGGCTGAGGATGAGCAGGATCAGGACGACCTCCATCCGCCCACCAACCCTCCACACCAGCTGCCGCCTCCCACGGACGCCTCAGAGCTGTGGGACGCCATCGACCGGCTGGACAACACGGTGGTCAACAACACGGTGAAGGTGAGCCTGCACACGTGAGGACTTTGTTCTTGACGTTCAGCACGAGTGTGCTTTCTGACAGTAAAATCAGGACTGAAACAGGAAACTGAAATGTGTCCCGTGCAGGTGACCACACTGGTGGAGGATGCGGCGGTGACATCGCGCGCCGTCCAGCAGCTGAGTCGGCACGTTAAGGAGCTGGAAAAGCAGATCAACGACACGGCGCGGCGCACCCAGGTGCTGTTCATGGAGACGGGGCTGGAGGTGGAGGACGCCAAAGTGAAGGTGCTGAATCGTGTAAAAGAGCTGGCGGGGAAGCTGAGCCAGCAGGTTAAACGACTGGACGATGTTGAGGAGGACATGGACTGCCTGTGGACGATCCCGAACACCTGCAAGAACAACTCGCGCATCGAATGCAACTGTGAGAGCTTGCAGGCGACCGTGGCTATCTTGCAGAGGGACGTGGCCAACGTGACCGAGCTGGCCAATGAGAACAGATTAGCTCTGGACGAGAACAGCAGGGGAGGGCATTGGGGTACGAGCAGCGACTGGGAGCCGGCGGTAAAGGCGCTCCAACTTGGCCTCCACAGGGTACGAGCAATGAAACTGTAAATAAGAGCAGACACGACTTTCAGCTGATAACGATCCGGAGACAGGTCCACACAGTGTTTCTAAACAGGCTGCTTTCTGTGTTTCTGTTTGCTCTCCATCCTCCTCCTGCAGGAGCAGAGCAGGATCAGGACTCTGGACCTCGGCCTGGCCCACCTGAATGCCTCAGTCTCTGGCCTGAAGCACGCAGACAGACAGCAGGACGCCAAGATAAAGGTGCTGGACACCACCTTCAACATCCTCCTCCAAGACGCCAGCCGACACAGCAGGGTACTGAAGATGTTGCTGGGAGACGAGGTGATCGACTTCTTGAAGATGATCAGCCTGAGGGAGAAGGAGAGGCCGGACCACGAGGACGAGGAGGAGGAGGAGGCTGACTTCATCTCCGTCCAGGCTCTGAAGGAGGACCTGAGGCACCTGCAGGAGCAGCTGAGAGAACACGAGCAAACGATCATCATGCTGAAGCAGGGCCAGACGGGTATGCCTTTACTGTGAAGGGACAGCTGCAGGCTGATGCTTTTATTTTGAATGAGCTATCCTGCAGGGTTGCCCCCTGCTGGATGTTAGATAAAATGTACTTTTAAGAAGCTGCTTCCTGTTTTTGCTTCAACTCATTTTTGACTCGTCTGTTCTCAGGAGGCAGAGAGGAGGTTCCGTCTGCAGACCAGCCTCCCTCCTGGTTGCCCGGTGACCCAAGGAGGGGCGGCGGCGACGGACTTCCTGCTAGGGAGCAGCAGATGCTCTTCCATCCCGGGGATGGCGGTGACCTATGGAACCTGGAGAGGAAGGTGGAGGAGGTGGAGCGCAGGCTATCCCAGCTGGAGGAGAAAACGTGCTCCTGCCCCAACGTCTCACGTGTGGCTGCCACGGTGATGAATGAGGTGATTTGGCTGAAAAAGGGGCTGGAGCAACACCTGGGGGTGTTCAAGAACGTCTTCAGCAACGCCGACGTGCTGGCGAGATCCAACGCCACGTTGGAGCTGGATAAGCTGTGGCAGCTGCTGAAGAAGAAAGAGAAGAAGAAGCAAGGAGGACGGAGGGAGGAGTCAGAGAGGGGAGGAAAGCGGCGCAGCAGGAGGGAGTCACCAGGTGAGGTTTCAGGTAACACACTGCTGCCCAACAGTGTTCTTAATGTTTTATTGATAATAGTTGTTTGTTTGTTGGTTTTTTTCTTTACATCTTCTTCCATTGTCCCCTCCTCTTCTCTCCAGGTGAACCCGTCCCCGCCAGCCTATCAGAACGCGCCCCGCTGTTCGTTGCTCGGTCTCTTCAGAGCGTCTCTGGCGTTGTTGTTTTTGAGCCGTCTTTGACCCAGGGTCAGTTTTACTCTGGCAGTACCTTCACAGTTCCAGTGGATGGGATCTACCTGTTTGTCCTCACCTTGCACCTGAGACCAGGCCCCGCCCATGTGGTCCTAAGGAGCATGGGGGAGGAGGAGGAGAAGGGCGGAGCGTGGGTGCCTCTGCAGAGGCAGGAAGTAAGTAAGGAGGGGCCGGCTACCGGGGTCAGCCTCCTGCTGCTGAGGGAGGGGCAGGAGGTGAGGCTGGAACTGAGGGGAGGAGAGTGGGCGGAGTCAGAGGACGACATGTTCGCATGTGTGCTGCTCTACCCAACCACCTGAGAGCGCTGTGGACCAATCAGCTGACAGCTGAAGGAACTGGTTGGATAAATGGACGGATGAAGGCAGCTTAGAGGACCAGGAGGGGTGAAATAATCCGATGTTGTGATTTCAGCTCAGAAGAAGAATTCTGTTTTTTTTAATGTCATATTTAGCGTGACGGCCAGTTTGTTCCAGTTTGGTTCCAGCAAAACACTGAGGAAAAGAATATGCTAGAAATAAGCAAAAGAAAAAATCTAAACCTCTCAAACCTACAGTATGCACTCACTGCCACTTTATTAGGTGCATCTTCCTGTAAATATCTAATCAGCCAATCACAGAGCAGCAGCTCAAAGCATTTAAGCATGCAGACGAGCTGCTGAAGTTCAGACTGAGAAAGGAGGAGTAAGAGACTCAAAGTTGGTCTGAGTGTTTCACACAGAGCTCATAGAGGAAACATCCAGTGAGCAGCTCTCAGGGAGGAAATGACTCGCTGAGGTCAGAGGACGATACACAGACTGCTTCAAGCTGATAGGAAAGAAACGGGAAGTCACTCGTTACAGCCGGGCTCTGCAGAAGAGCATCTGTGAATGTGCAGCAGCAGCAGAAGAGCAGTCCTGTGTTAAGAACAGGAAGCTGAGGCTACAGCTCACACAGAAACCTGGACAGCAGAGGATGGAGAAACGTTTCCTGCTCTGTGAGTGTCAGATGGTCAGTTAATCCATCCTGCCTGCGTCAGACCTCAGCCTGCTGCTGCTGCTGCTGTGATCAGGGCCACGCCCGTCCTCTGATGTCACAAAGCGAGTTCACTCAGGCGGCTCCACAGTCACAGATCTCAGTTTAACAGAGCAGCTTTGAGATGTGGAGGAGTGGGAGGGTGTCATCACAGATGCAGCAGCTGAGTGATGATGTCGTGATGATGTCGTGTCACCATGGATGAGGACCTTGTCATGTCTGTCGTGAAGGATTAAAAGCAGCTCTAGGTGTACCTAATAAAGTGGCAGTAAGCCTCCAAACTACATTTTTGGTTCTACTGAAAAAAAGGCGGACGTCTGTGTGATCTTCATATGGAGAGTAACTCCATATGAAGTAACTCCATGGACGTGAAGTTTATGTTTTTATTTTTATTTTTTAAATTGTCAACACTTGCCCCGTGTATCCTGTCAGCGTTGATTCTGGGAGTTGAAGGAGGGTTTGACCCGATGAGTCTTTGCTCGTGTTTTGAATCATTAGACTAAAACAGAGAGCACAGCTCAGCCTCGTGTTTCTAACATTCAGTTGCAGGTTTTGGTTATTTGAAGGTTTTTAAAAGCAGAGCTCAGCAGGAAAGCTCTGGTTTCATACATGTGACAAAAAAAAGGATTTTCTTCTTCTGCTGTCAAAACTACAGAATCGACGTCTCCTGAAAACCCTCAGCTCTGTGCAACGCCGTGACGCTGAAAGTCTGGACGGACTTGAGTGAAAGCCACGCCCGTGTGATGGGTGGGGCTTATAGCAGAGAGCTCATACAAGCTTAAAAATGCTCAATCACTGACCAATCAGGGTGGACATAAAGTGGGAAATGTTTTTGTTATTTTAAACTTGAGGCAATTTTTAATTTTTACTTTATTTTACATGAAGAAAATATTTGAATGTAAAGTCACGAGTTTCATGATGTAAAAACACAGCAGAAAATATTTAAATAAACCCTGAATGAGACAATGAACCAGTGAGACTTTTTCCTTTAAACATTTTATTCGTCCTCTCGTCTGTGTTCACTCTACAGCGTAGAAAAATAAGCATCAAAAATATACCAACGAAATCAAAATCCACTGTGGCAAAGCAAACGTGATGCAAAAATAACTTCATCTGAAACATCAACCTTTCACTCCGAGCTCACCTGGAGCACCAGGTGGGTGGAGCCAGCGCCGGTCTTGGCAGAAAGTCTAACGAGCCAATCGGAGCAAGAAAAATAAGGGAGGCTCCTCCCCCAAATAAATGGGAGGGATGTCGAAAGAAATTGGCAACGAGTGAAAGAAACGTCTATCGTAACACTTGTGAAGTGCGCTAAAAGCGGTCAAGCTACCGCGCTAACAAACGTCATCACGGCAGCACACGAACACCTGCGACAGGTGAGCTGAAGACATGCTAAATATTAGCTGCTCAAACAAAGCTGCGGTTATTCTTCTACAATAATCTAGAGAAGAGAAATGAGCCGGCCGGGCTGCGACAGGTGAGCACGCTCAGGTTAGTTCGCCTACACACAACTCCAAAAATCACCAGGAGGACGCGCTTCCACGCGTCAGCGCCACGACTCGCAAACAACTCCTGATGCTCCAATCAAAGTTGATCAACTGGACCAACAGAAGAAAGTCCTCCACCCGTGAGCCAGCATCCACCCGTCACTGAACGAGCTGAAGCCCTCATTGTTTATATACAGGTGGACCAGAGCGCCCTGCTTTGGCGGGCCGGTTCTGGCCCCCGGACCGTATATTTGACAGTTAAAACCTCCAAACAGACTAAAACAAAAAAAAAAATGACGCTGAGGTTAATGCAAACTGCGCCGGCTCGTTGGGGACGTTCCTCTGAAGACGGTCAGGAGCAGAGTGGTGTTATAACGCTGGCGTCCACCGGGGGGGGGCTCACGTGATAGCAGGCGAACCCACGCCAGGCATCGCAACCGTTTGTTAGCGTTTAAGTTTACAAGCAGCGCGTCTGAATTTGAGCTTTACAGAAATTATCAAACACTTCTCTAAGATCAGGACCTCGAGCGTGCTTCAGCTCTCAAACCAAGCCGCTCTTTGCTTCTGTCCAATCAGAGTTCAGGGCCGAGCAGACAGCAGGTCGCCGCTCGGAGCTTCGTGATGTCAGAGACGTGTTGGTGTGCGTGAGCTCGGCGAGGCGAGCGGAGCCGCAGGAGATCCGTGATGAAGAAGTGAGGATGAGAGGGCGACACTGCAGAGCCAAGAGTTTTCCTCCAAAGTGACATCATCACGCCGCACACACAGCGTTTGAGCTCCTTCACGATGTCAGCGAGTCACATTTGCAGTAAAACTCTCGCTGTGGTCCGATCAGCTGGTTGGCCGGAACCGAGCCACGTAGGCACCGCACGAGGAGCAACAGGAGCGCGCCGGCTCGGCAGGAAGCTGCTGGCAGAGCGAGCAGAGCTGGGGGGGCCGGCGGGGCCGAGGAGGCTGCGGGTGGCGAGCGAGGCGGGCGTCCCAGGAGGAGCTGGGCTGGACTGTCCTGGAGTTGGTATCGTGTCGCCAGTCGCCGTCTGGGGGGATGTCCAGGCGGAGTGGGTGGGCAGGGCCATCTGACGCTCTGAGGTGGTGGGGGGCGTAGCCCAATGAGGGGTGCCCGTAGTGGACGTTAGCGCTGGCGGCGGAACGACGAGGGCGGAGCATGGTGGCGTAGAGGCTTTGCTGTCCCAGAGGGGAGGCGGGGCTGGTGCCAGCTCTGGGCCTGGGGAGGGAGGAGGTGGAGGGAGGTGGGGCTCGGCGAGGAGCTCGAGGCAGTGTGCCGTAACTCAGCGGGACGCCGTGAGCTGAAAGAGTCTGACGCCGGTCAGGCACAACCAGAACGTGCTGCTGGATGCTCGCACCAGCTCCTGAGGAAGAGGAAGAGGACACGTCAGGCGGCGTTCACGCTTTCTGCCACACCCTCAGCGCTGTGCAAAAGTCCTGAAGACTACCGGCAGAAATGAGGCGGGGCTCACACCAAACAGCCCGCCTCCATCATGTTTCAGTAACTCTGCACACGTTTCACTTTTTCCTACAAACGGTGACTCAAGACTTATGCACAGCACTGTAGGCGTGACGGGTTCACATGTACAGCACGGCAGCAGGGTCACATGACTGCAAAGGAATCCTGTCACTTTGATCATTTCCAGGTTTCCACCTGTGAGCAGGTTGCCATGGGAACGCTGGGAGCGTTTAATCAAACTAAACTGTCTGAACTACAGAGAGAATCTGAGTTCAGCATTTGTTGAACTGCATTTCCCAGCATGCCCGGCCAGCTGCTCTGAAGATGGAGGTGAAGGGCCGGCATGTTACCTGAGTGTCCCCAGGATGAGGGCCTGGAGCTGGGGGGCTGTGATGTCTGCGTGGGGGGGTGCTGTGCAGGAGGAGAGGGGCCGTGGAGTCGGGGCTGGTGGTGGTGGGAGTGGTCTGCAGTGAAGGAGGGAGAGGAGGGGGGATGCAGGGTAGAGGAGCTGGAACGACGCAGGAGGGAAGAGGAGGAGGAAGAATGTCTGAGGGGGGGTCTGGACACAGAGGGGTCCTTCAGGAGGAGGAGGAGGAGGAGTGAAGGTGGAGGCGTCAGTGAGAAAACAAAGGGAGGGGGGAGAAATGAAAACATGTTAACGTGATGAAGAAAAAAAACACACATGAAACAAGAGCGAAAAGATTAAAAAAAAAAACAACAAACATGGGGGAGGGGCTTGTATCTTTGAGATGCAAGTCTGGGGGTGACACCATGATCGTGTCTGCGTGCACGCTGCTGAATGACTCAGTTCTCCCCTCACGTTGTAACAGATTTGGGAATCAAACCCTCGGGCCGAGGGAACGCGGTGAGGATCTGACGCCGAGCGCCGCTCAGCTGCCGGGCTCTGAGGTTAGAAGCTTAATGGGAGAACTAAACTGCCCATCAATGTTTAATGCGGCGGCCTGAGGCGATTCCTGAGGCCTGAATACGAGATGGCTGAACGCCAGCGGCGCCGAGAGCAGAGCGAAGCGTGCAGAAACACAGGAAGCTGCTGCTCAGAGACAGTTCCAGTTAAATATTCTCCATCCTCATGAGTGGTAACGTGTTTATGAGGTCACAGGCTAAAATGTGACAGCGTCACTCGATGGGTGTGACTCGAGTTCACCTGGACAGGTTCACTGATTTTTAAAGATGCCTCATTTTTCTGTGACATGGACGGAATAAAGAGGTTTCCCTGCTCTGCACCAAAGCTGAGCTCCAGGCTGCAGTTACAGGGTGCGACCACAAGGTGGCAGAAGGAAGCTGCTAGTGCCTCTGTGTGTTCCTGTCTAACTATCTTTGTGAGGACCGAAATCTGCATTCTACTACACTTGTGAGAACCGGTGTGTCCTCACAAGTTTGAAGCCTTTCTGAGGCTCAAAATGTGGTTTTAGTGTCAGGGTTACAATTAGGTCATGGTCAGGTTTAGAGTCCGGGCTAGGGAAACCATTATGTCAATGAAGGTCCTCACTAAGATAGTTGAACGAGCTTGTGTGTGTGCGTGTGTTTCTCTCTTACACAGCTGTGGGAGGGGGCGAGGTTTTGGGGTCGCGACCCGATGACGGTCCCACTGAGGCTGCGGGCGATGCGTCGCAGGTTTTCGGCGCTGTAGCTCTCGTCTTCAGCTGACGGCGGCTGCAGGTCAAACAGAAGAGTTCAGTTTTTTTAACAAGGTCGCACAAACAACGTGAACGCCGTCATCGGCTGAACGCACAGGTGTGCACACCTTCTGCAGGCCTGCTATTGGGGTCCTGTAGGCGTCTCTCTCGATCTCAGCTGTCGGCGTTTTTGAGCGTCCGGGACCCGACTGCCTCCTCCTCACGCCTGTACGCGCGCACACACACACACACACACACACACACACACACACACACACACACACAATGAACATCATTTATAGCTCACAGTCACACGGGCAGGATGGCGTCTGCTATCAGCAGCTTCATGTCTGTGACGTAGAGGAGCTGAGACCAGCGTTGGTGCCTCACGTTTGATCTGTTTCACTCACTGCAGGAAACTTAAAGTGCATTGTGGGTAAACACGGAGCAGGCGTCCGCTCGGAGCAGGCGTCCGCTCGGAGCAGGCGTCCGCTCGGAGCAGGCGTCGCTTCTGCTGGAACAATCTGAACTTATTTTATTAACTCGTGACATCAGTTCACGTTTATGACGGCATGAACAGGTCAGCTGAGCGAAGGCTCCTGATTGGTTGGAACTATTAATAAATGTCCAGCTTCAACCTCTGAGGCACCAAACGCTGCAGTTCCTCCAACGTCCAGCAGAGGCTCCTACCTGGTTTGCTGCCGCTCGGCTGGGGGCTGACTCCCCGGCTGCCCCGGTGCATGCTGGGAGCCAGCAGACTGGCCTGGTACAGCGATTCCAGCTCTGACAGCTCCTCGCCGGGTGTCACCGCCGCCGCCACCAGTCCCCCTTCCCCAATGCTCTGGGAGCCGTAGTATCTGTTGACGTTTTCAGCCCAGCGTTCCACGGGCAGCGCCACTGTGGGCGGGGAAACGGGCAGGTCCGGGCGGCTCACTGGGGGAATGTTGGTGGGGGACTCTGGCGGTGAGTACAGGTGCGAGCTAATTGGTGGACTGGGAGAGTCGATGACGTCTTGGTCTAGGTATAAGCACGACCAGTTCCTGGTTGCATGAGGGGCAGGGGGCGGGGACGGTATGTGGCTGGAGTCTGGGGGTGTGGCCTGAGGCTGCCGGGTGTAAGACGGTTTCAACGTCTCAACAGGTGACGGGATTTGGGGATGCAGCCGGGGTGGGGGCGGGGCTTGTACTGGAGGCACTGGGGCAGGAGATGTTATGGTCCACTGCGCTGAAAGCTCCTCCTCTTCAAGCAGAGGGGGTGGAGCCAAGTCTTCCACAGGGGCATCCACACAGAGAGCAGGGAGGGAGCCGACGCTACAGAGGGTCTTCCTGTCCTCCTGAGGTGAACCTGAAGGGGCGGGGTCAGACACCAAGGTTGACTGGGGAGG